CAAAAAGGAGGGGGGTATATAGGAGTCACCTGGTGGTCGGTCGGTCGGTCGGTCCAGCTCTTGTTGCATTTTCCTTGTCCCTAGCATAACTTGAAGACTAATGGTTGGAATTCAATATAATTTCATACAATGGTCAAGCACATTGAGAGGAAGTACAGTGCACAAGAACCATAACTCCATCTTTACTAATTACAGAGTTATTGCCCTTTGTTAGCTCGACTTTTCTATGAAAAGGGGAGCTATCCTACTCGCCCCGGCGTCGGCGTCGGCGTTAGCGTTGGCGTCACACCTTGGTTAAGTTTTTCGTACCACCCCACTTTATTTCAGAAGTATTACAAGTATGGCTTTGAAACTTACCATACTTGTTCACCATCATAACCTCCATCTACAGACAAGAGTACATAACTCTGTCAAGGTTTTTGACAGAATTATGGCCCTTTTTTGACTTAGAACGTGTATTGAGCTTGGTTAAGTTTTTTGTACCACCTCACTTTATTTCAAAACCATTGGAGGTATTGCTTTGAAACTGACCATACTTGTTTACCATCACGACCTTCATCAACAGACAAGAGGACATAACTCTGTCAAGGTTTTTGACAGAATTATGCCCCTTTTTGACTTAGAAAATACATTGAATATGGGTAAAATCCACTTATTGCCTTAAACCCTTTGAGATATTGCTTTGAAACTTTTAATGCTATTTCACATCATTACCCCATCTGTACGCAAGAGAAGGTAACTCTGTCAAGGATTTGTTTTAAAAATTAAGGCCTTTTATCGACTTAGAATCTTGGTTAAGTTTTTAGTACCAGTCCACTTTTTGACTGAACTGTTTGAGATATTAATTTGAAAGTTGGAATACTTGTTTACAATCATGATTCCCAAACATGTCCAGGAGAAGGTAATTCTGTCAAAGATTTTATTTCAATTATGGCCCTTAACTGTCAATGTTTTGTATTATAGGCAAGCACTAAAAAACTTAAAAAATCTAAAAAAATTCATTCCTATCCACTTGTTCACTTTACCATAAATTATGTCATATAAACATTGCTGTAATATTCAAGGGTATCAAACAACTAGTTCACTTTAAAAATACAGAGATTCTTGTATTGCCTTTTACTGCAAAAACTTTTTTTATTGGCAAGCAATAAAAAAGTCGAGCGCGCTGTCTTACGGACAGCTCTTGTTACTTTTCCTTGTCTGGAGCATAACTTGAAAACTACTGGTTGAAACTCCAAACAACTTCATACAATTGTCAAGCATAATAAGGGGAAGTGCATTGCCCAATAACCAGAACTCTATCTAAAGTAATTACAGAGTTATTGCCCTTTGTTATTTTTCCATTGCTGTCTTTTGTCCGGACTATAACTTGAAGACTTATGGTTGGAATTAAATATAACTTCATACATTGGTGAAGCACATTGAGAGGAAGTGCAGTGTATGAGAAACATAACTCCATCTTGACTTACAATAGAGTTATTGCCCTTTGTTACTTTTCCTTGTCTGGAGCATAACTTGAAAACTACTGGTTGGAATTCTATACAACTCAATGCAGTTGTCAAGCACATTAAGAGGAAATGCAGTGCACAAGAATTATAATTCCATTTTGACAAATTACAGAGTTATTGCCCTTTGATATTTTTCCTTGTCCGGAGCATTACTTAAAACATACTGGTTGGAATTTAAAAGAACGTCATACAATGGTCAAACACAATAAGAGAAAGTGCAGTGCACAAGAACCATAACTCCATTTTGACTAATTACAGAGTTACTGCCCTTTGTTACTTTTCCTTGTCCAGAGCATAACTTGAAAACTACTGGTTGGAATTCAAAACAACTTCATACAATGGTCAAGCACAAGAACTATAACTCTGTCCAGAGTAATTATAGAGTTATTGCCCTTTGTTACTTTTCCATTGCTTTTTGTCTTGTCCAGAGCATAACTTGAAAACTACTGATTGGAATTCAAAACTATTTCATACAATGGTCAAGTATATTGAGAGGAAGTGCAGTGCACAGACACCATAACTCTTTTTTGACTAATTTAAAAGTTTTTGCCCTTTGTTACTTTTTATTGTCCAGTACATAACTTGAAAATTAATGGTTGGAATTCAATGAAACTTCATATAATGGTCAAGCGCAATGAGAGGAAGTGCAGTAACCATAACTCAATCTTCATTATTTATAGAGTAATTGCCCTTTGTTCCTTTTCTTTGTCTTTCTGGACTTATTACAGAGTAATCCAATAAAACTTCATCAATGGCCAACCACATTGAAAGGAAATGCAACATACAAGAACCACAACTATCTTTAATAGCCCACAACCATAACTCTATTTCAATTCTTTACAAGGTATTCTGTTACTAGTAACAGGGGGAGGTATTAATCACATTTACTGATTGTTCTAGTTTATTGATAGATGTATTTCATATTTGGTAGGAAGATAACTTGCATGATATCCTTCCTTTTGATTAAGGTTAGTGTCAACAGGACAAGGTCAAGTGTGCCAATGTTATATTTTTTGACTTCAGCCTTTTTTGACTGATGTTTTCATATTTGAAAGGATGATAACTTGAACCATATGGATTGAGTTAAATGTCCGTTACATCAAGGTCACAAGTGCTGAAAATAGATTTTACACTTTTTTGTGCCCCAACTTTAGTGGCGGGCATTTAGATTTACCCTTGTCTGTCCGTCCTTCCGTCTGTCCGTTCTCTTGTGTGTCGCACCTAACTCAAAAAATATTTGACCTAGAGTCATGAAACTTTACAGGAATGTTGATCAGCATGTGAAGTTGTGCACCTGGATATTTTCGTCTGGATATTTTTAGTATTTTCAGAGTTATTGCCCTTGACTTAGTAAAATTTTGCAATTTTTAACTTGTGGCACATGTAACTCAAAAAGTGTGTGACCTAGAGTCATGAAACTTTACAGGAATGTTTCTCAGCATGTGTAGTTGTGCACCTGGATATTTTTCTCTGGATTTATTTAGTATTTTTAGAGTTATTGGCCTTGACCTAGTAAAATTTTGCAATTTTAGTTAGTAAAAGATTTTTAGTTTTCAAAAAATATTTGACCTAGAGTCATAAGATTGTTAGAACAGTGGCGTGTTGGGGGCACCCGTGTCCTATGGACACATTTCTAGTTTCATTAAGCCTTTGTTTGTGTTACCAATGTCTTATATTTACAAGGAACATACCTAAGGTGGTCCTTTAGGTTTGGATGGAGTTTGGTGTCACTGGGTTCATGGTAAAGTCTTGTATCTATATCTATTTGATTAAGTTGATTATTATGCCACCGCAGCATCTGCGATGCGGTGGCATATAGCGATTCACCTGTGTGTGTGTGTGTGTTTTTCTGTTTGTGTGTGTGTTATTTAGATTATTTAGTGAATTTATAAAATCTTCTTGTGAAAAACCACTAGGGCTTCCAAAGTTATTCAAAGTCTTTCATTCCATGTAGAAATCTGGTTGCCATGGCAACCAAAAGGAATTATTAGAATAAAATAAAAAAATCTTCTTGTAAAGACCCAAAAGCCCCAGAGCTAAGATATTTTGCATAAGGCATTGTCTGGTAGACCTCTACTAAGATTGTTCAAATTATAGCCCTGGGGTCAAAATCTGCCCCGCCCCAGGGTCATTGATTTCCACTATAATTATGTACATTTAGTAAAAACTTAAAATACCTTCTTGTTAAGACCCAAAAGGCTTAGAGCTTAGATATTTTGCATAAGGCATTGTCTGGTAGACCTCTACCCAGATTGTTCAAATTATAGCCCTTGGGTCAAAATCGGCCCCACCCCGGGGGTCATTGGTTTTTCTATATGTATATAGTAAAAACTAATAGTAAAAACTTAAAAAAAAATTCTTCTAGCAATTGACAAATGCTAGAGGTAAGATATTTTGCATGAAACATTGTGTAGTGAACCTCTAGCAAGATTGTTCAAATTATAGCCCTGGGTTCAAAATCGCCCCCGCCCCGAGGGTCATTGATTTTCAATATATACATATAGTAAAAAATCAAAAAATCTTATTGTCTGAAGGTACAAGGCTTAGAGCTTTAATATTTGTTAAAGGGTATAATCTATAGGTACTCTACCAAAGTTTTTAAAATTTTGCCTCTAGTGTCAAAATTAGCCACGCCTCGGGGGGGGGGGGGCATAGGCTTTCCTTATATGTATATAGTAAAAACTTGAAAAATCATCTTCTCTAAATTGACAAAGGCTAGAGGTTTGATATTTTGCATGAAACATTGTGTAGTGAACCTCTAGCAAGATTGTACAAATTATAGCCCTGGGGTCAAAATTGGCCCCACCCCCAGGGGTCATTGATTTTCACTATGTACATATAGTAAAAAAATAAAAAATCCTCTTGTCTGAAGGTACAAGGCTTAGAGCTTTGATATTTGATATATAATATCATCTATGTAGGTCCTCTGCCAAAGTTGTTCAAATTTTTCCCCTGGTGTTAAAATTGGCCCTGTCCAGGGGCAGAAAGCTACAGCTTAGATATTTGACTTAAAATCTTGTTTGGTGGACCAGTATCGAGATTGTTTTGAATTAAACCCTTGGGTCAAAATTTTGCCTTGCCCAAGGGGACAGTGACCTACTTTCTTGTCCTTTGATGTACAGCAATGAAATTTTAACCATGTGCACAGTTTAGTTGTTTAGCATTTTTCTCAAATGCAATCTTGTTTTTCAATTTTGTCACAAGTCATAACAATGAATTGGCAACTTAAAGATTTCACAATTACAAAACGCCATGACTCTATCAAGTTATAGGCCAGTATTTACAATTTTTTGGCAAGAATCTGAGCCAGGGCGCACTTGTGTTAAAATTTCACATTTATCTATTTAGATCTTACTGTCATAAGAATTTCAGAGTTAATATTTCAAAATAAATGTACATGTATTATGTTTTTATTGCTTATTTATCAATGAAAAATACACCACAAGCTCTTTAGCCAATTACAAACAGGCAAACATTTCTGACCCAAACATTAAATACATGTTTCTCAAAAGGTGGATGAGAGAACACAAATGTAAACAGGGATACTCTGATTGGCTAATGATAATCTAATTATTAATTTTTGAATATCTTTATAAATTGCCTGTCTCTTAGATAGTGAAGATATTAATTCTTATTATTCAGACATGATACTCCCACCTGAAATCCAACAAATGGATCAGACTTCTATACAGTTATACAAGCAATTATTGGATGAGGGTTATGAAGTTGTTTACAACATTCGTGTAGTAGTTGTTGGACATAAAGGTGCTGGCAAGACAACGTTAACGAAGCGTCTGTTTAATAGAGATGTTGTTATCGGTAAGGAAGAAAGCACAAATGGTATTGAGGTACATGTGGACAGATGTAAAGTTTTGCTAGAGAAAGGACAATGGATAATATCTGAAAGTGGTAAGTTTAAGCTTTCTGTGTTGATGAAATACATTTGCTTATGAACTTTTATTAAGGTCATGTTTCATGGAGGATGTCTCATTTACAAAATTAATGTTTAATGAAATTTAAGGTAGAATTATTCTACTTATTTCTTAAGAATTTTTTTTTTATAATACTCAGTATTTTTGAACAGTTAAGATACATGCATTTTAATATAGGCCACTTATATATGTACTCATGACATGCTCAAAGATGTTTAATTTTGGATGATTCATTCCTAAAAATTGTGTTGACAAATGAATCATTCATATGTAAATAATTAGTGTTGACATATGAATATTTCATGTGCAAAGTAAAGTTGGTTGGGTAGATAGTGCATATGCTGGTGCCTCACAATCAGAATCAATCATGTCTGCAATGAGTACTTCCTTTGTTAGCATTTCTGAATAGGAATCTTTATTTTCATTTTTGGCTCAACTTTTTTGTGAGGAAAAAATAGAGGTATTGTCACGTCATGAAGGCGTTGCCTTTCTCGAAACTTTTACATTGATCATAGCTTTTTCAAGTTCTTAGCATATTGTCTTCATACTTGGCCAAAACAATCATTGGGACCTTCAAGTAGACCAAACCCAACTTGATCTACATTCATAAATAACTTTGAGTTTCAAGGTCAAATGTGTAAATTTTGCATAATTTTGCTGGTTTTTGTTTCAGTTCTACGGAATAGTGGCAACATATAGGGATCACTTCTCATTCGTCTGTCTGTCCATCACTAAACTTGTCCGGACTTCTCCTCATCCACTATAGGTGCAATTTCATCCAAACTTTACAGGAATGATCAGTATCAAGTCTAGTTGTGCATATCATTAGCATTTTCCAGTTTAATGATTATTATCAGACTTCTCCTATTTCACTATTCCACTGAAGCAATTTCAATGAAACCTTACAGAATTGAACTGTAGCTCAAGTACTTGTGCATATTACATAGGTTTTCTGGTTGAATTTTGGTTCAGTGATTTTTGTCAGAGTTATGGTCCTTTGATTATTTTTAGCTCACCTGTCAAAAAGTTACAAGGTGAGTTGTTGTGACACTGTGTTGTCTTTGGTCCGTCGTTGTCAGTCCGTCAGTCTGTGCGTTAACTTTTTGTGTCGCCTTGAAAAAGGCGACATATAGGGATTACTTTTGTCGGCGTTGGCGTTGTTGTCGGTGTTGGTGTCCCCTTAAGCTTGTCCGGAGCATAAGTCAGTCTTTATAAGTCGGATCGACTTCAAACTTGGTATGCATGCTTCTTATAATGACCCAGAGTGCAGTGCGCAAGAACCGGTACTCTGCACTTCTTAATTTTTGAGTTATTGCCCATTGCTAAATTTCATACATTATTTTTGTCCGGGCCATTTCTCCTAATGTATAAAAGCTATGGACTTGGAACTTCATAGGTTGATAGATCTCATTAAGAAGAAGTGCAGTGCACAAGAACCTGTACTCTGCATTTCTTATTTTTTGAGTTATTGCCCTTTGTTAATTTTCATACTTTATTTTTGTCCAGGCCATTTCTTGTAAAGTATAAATGCCATGGACATGAAACTTCATAGGATGATAGATCTCATTAAGAAGAAGTGCAGTGCACAAGAACCTGTACTTATCGGCACTCCTTATTTTTTGAGTTATTGTCCTTTGTTAATTTTCATACTTTATTTTTGTCCAGGCAATTTCTCCTAAAGTATAAAAGCTATGGACATGAAACTTTATAGGATGATAGATCTTATTAAGAAGAAGTGCAATGCACAAGAACTGGTTATGCATTTCTTATTTTTGAGTTATTGCCCTTTGTTAATTTTCATACTTTATTTTGTCCAGGCCAAATTTCCATACTTTATTTTTGTCCAGGCCATTTCTCATAAATTATAGAAGCTATAGACTTGAAACTTCATATGATGATAGATCTTATTGATAAGAAGTGCAGTGCACAGAAACTGCTGCTCTGCACTTATTATTTTGTTGAGTTATTGCCCTTTGTTAATTTTCATATTACATTTTTGTCCTGGCCATTTCTCCTAAACTATATTGTTCACAAGGCGTCACTTCCGACTCGCGGAGTTCTAGCAAATTTAAATGACTTCTCCTCCAATACCACTTGGCCAAATTTAATGAAACTTGGCAGGCATGTTTGTTGCATGAATCTACCAAAGATGTTAAAGAATTAAATACCTTGAAGAACTCTAGTTGCCATGGCAACCAAAAGAGTTTATTCTAACAAATCTTAAAAAAACTTCTTGTCAAAATCCACAAAACATGGAGCCTTGATATTTGATATGTAACATGATCTAGTGGTCCTCTACAAAGATTGTTCAAATTATGCCCCTATGGTCAAAAGGGGCCCGCAATGGGGGTTACTCGATTTGTAAAAAAAAAGGTTTTAAAAACTTTCTTGTTAAAAACCACATGGCCTACAACTTTGATATTTGGTATGTAACATCATCTGGTGGTCCTCTACAAAGATTGTTCAAATTATGCCTCTTGGATCAAAAGGGTCCTTCCCAGGGGACTTATCGATTTTATTTGCTTACCATGCACATAGTGCAGGTGAGCTATTAGGATTGCCCATCATTTTCGTCCGTCTTCTGTCGTCCGTTAACAATTTATTCAAACGACATCTTCCATGATACCACCAGACCAATTTTAATGAAACTTATCAGGAATACTCTTTATATGAAGCTTTATCAAGTTTGTTAAAAGAATGCCATTCCATGTAAAACCTGGGTTGCTATAGCAACTAATGGAAAGCACTTAAAAATTCTCATACTTCAAAACGGGAAAGGCTAGGGCTTAGATATTTCTCACATGACATTGGCTTGTTGGTTTCTATAAAGCCTATTCGAATTATGGTCTAGAGTTGAAAATTGGTCTCTGATTTGGGATAAAATATAATAATTAAAGTCAAAAATCCCACCAGCCCAGCTCTTTTTCTTCTTTCAGATAAGAAACCCACAAATGCAAGTAATCGTTTAGTAAAACTTTTAAAAAAACCTGAAACCTTTACTGGATCTGATTTGCGGAAAATGGAAGTAAACAATGATACCGTTGAAGAGGACTCATTTGAAAAAGGTGGAGGTATTAATTTTAGTATGATTTAGCATATCTTATAAAATAATTCATTACAGTACTTTTAAATAGAACATTAGGTTATCAACATATTAAAAGATATAAATATGGAGTAATAAACTGAATGATATATTTTGAATTTGCCGATCCCTGTTTGAATCCTGATAGTACTGGTAAACTGCTTGACAGCCTACCTAGGAGCAATGTGGTGGCTAAACTGTGCTTTGTCAGGTTATGATTTTTAGCTGGACTATACAAAGTATATGGAGAGCTGTCATACTCCTTCCCTGCGTTGGCGTCCATATTTCAGATTAAAGTTTTGGTGCAGTAAAATATTTTTTCACTATTACTTTTTCATTTCTTAAGGTATTAACTTCAAACATCAAATATATGTTCCTTATCATCAACCACATCTTATGTGACAAGGACGGTTCATAACTCTACTTTTAGATTTATCTCCCCTTGAACTTACAATTTTCATTAAAATATGTTATTTTTCACTGTTACTTATTAATTTCTAAAGGGATCAACTTCAAACTTCAAATATATGTTCTTTATAACAAGTACATCTTATGTGACAAAGTTAATAACTCTAGCACCAATTTATATTTATCTCCCCTTAAACTTAGAATTTGCCTTAAAAAAACTATTTTTACTATTACTTCTTTATGTTTTCTTAAAGGATCAACTTCATACTTCAAATATGTGTTCCCGATCATCAACCACATCTTATGTGAGAAGGTTCATAACTCTTGCACCAATATTTTAAGATTCATCTCCGCTTGAACTTAGAATTTTTCTTATAATATGTTATTTTTCACTGTTACTTATTTATTATGCCACCGCAGCATCTGCGATGCGGTGGCATATAGCAATTCACCTGTGTGTTTGTGTGTGTGTGTGTGTGTGTGTTCTATAGATTATATAGTGAACTTAAACAATCTTCTTGTCAAAAACCACCAGCCCAATTTCAACCAAACTTAGCAGGATTGATCCTTGGGTGAAGGGCTTCCAAACTTGTTCAAAGAATTTCATTCCATGCAGAAATCTGGTTTTCATGGCAACCAAAAAAGGAATTATAAGAATAAATTAAAAAAATCTTCTTGTAAAGACCCAAAAGGCCTAGAGCTTAAATATTTTGCATAATGCATTGTCTGGTAGACCTCTACCAAGATTGTTCAAATTATAGCCCTGGGGTCAGAATTAGCCCCGCCCGGGGGTCATTGATTTTTACTATATGTACATATAGTAAAAACTTAAAATACCTTCTTGTAAAGACCCAAAATGCCTAGAGCTTAGATATTTTGCATAAGGCTTTGTCTGGTAGACCTCTACCAAGATTGTTCAAATTATAGGCCTGTGGTCAAAATCAGGCCCGCCCCGGGGGTCATTGATTTTCACTATATGTACATATAGTAAAAACTTAAAATACCTTCTTGTAAAGACCCAAAAGGCCTAGAGCTTAGATATTTTGCATAAGGCATTGTCTGGCAGACCTCTACCAAGATGGTTCAAAATTATAGCCCGGCCCTGGGGTCAAAATCGGCCCCACCCCGGGTCATATTGATTTTCAACTATATGTACATATAGTAAAAACTTAAAATACCTTCATTGTCTAAAGATATACAATTAGAGGTTTGATAATTTGGTATGTGTTTATTATTCTATAGGTACCTCTACCAAAGTCCCATATCAAAATGCATAAGGCATAATTTTGCCTCTAGTGTCAAAAATCAGCTCTGCCCGGGGGTCATAGGTTTTCCTAAAATGTATATAGTAAAACCTTTCTAAAAAAATTTCTTCTAGCAATTGACAAATGCTAGAGGTTAGATATTTTGCATGAAACATTTTGTAGTGAACCTCTAGCAACTTTGTTCAAATATAGCCCTGGGTCAAAATTGGCCCCGCCCTGGGGGTAATTGATTTTCAATAATATACATATAGTAAAAAATCAAAAATATTATTGTCTGAGGTACAAGGCTTAAAGCTTTAATATTTGTTATATGATATCATCTATAGGTACTCCACCAAAATTGTTCAAATTTTGTCTCTAGTGTCAAAATTAGCCATGCCCTAGGGGCATGGTTTTCCTTATAATAATATAGTAAAAACTAAAAAGGTCATCTTCTCCAAATTTACAAAAGCTAGAGTTAAGATATTTTGCATGAAACATTGTGTAGTGAACCTCTCTAGCAAGATTGTACAAATTATAACCCTGGGGTCAAAATTGGCCCCACCCCCGGGGGTCATTGATTTTCATTAAATACATATAGTTAAAAATTAAAAAATCTTCTTGTGTGAAGGTACAAGGCTTAGAGCTTTGATATTTGGTATATAATATCATCTATGGGTCCTCTACTGAAGTTGTTTTAATTATGCCGCCTAGTGTTAAAATTGCCCTGCCCCAGAGACGATAGTTTTTCTTAATTGTATAAAGTAAAAACTTGAAAAATCTTCTTTTCTGAATTGACAAAGGCTAGAGGTTAAATATTTGGCATGAGACTTTGCGAAGTGAACCGCTACCAAGATTGTTCAAATTATAGCCCTGGGGTCAAAATTTGTTCCGCCCTGGGCGTTATTGATTTTCATTATGTACATATAGTAAAAAAATATTTTTGTCTGAAGGTACAAGGCAAAGAGCTTTTTTTGTTTGCTATATCATGTCATCTATAGGTCCTCTACCAAAGTTGTTCAAATTTTTGCCCTGGTGTCAAAATTGGCCCTGCCGGGGGGCAGTGATTCTCATTATGATGTACATATTAAAAACTGAAAATAAAACAAATGTTTTCTGAATTGGAGAAAGCTACAGCTTAGATATTTGACTTGAAATGTTGTTTGGTGGACCTGTATCAAGATTGTTTTGAATTAAACCCTTTGGTCAAAATTTTGCCTTGCCCAAGGGGACATTGACCTACTTTCTTGTCATTTGATGTACAGCAATGAAATTTTGACCATGTGCACAGTTTTAGTTGTAAAATTGAACTTTGATATCAGGTGACCTTGATTTTGATGATGTGACCTACTTTCTTGTACTTTTATGTACAGCTATGAAATTTGAACCATGTGAACAGATTGAGATGTAAAGTGAACTTTGATATCAGCTGACCTAAGTTTTGACAAAGTTTCTTTCTGTGTTGTCCTTTGATGTAGTCATGAAATTTATGCTGTGTGAAATATGACCTTCACCACCAAATTCACTTTCTTTTATTTGAATAACAATATATTTAACCACTTATCTGATAATAAGAATTAAATAGGTCAGGGCTCTATGCATTATGACAATCTTCAGTTGTATAGAAACAAAAAAAAATATGTTTCTACACTACTATTTAGTGTTGTATTAATGCGGTGGCATAGCATTTTTCACAAATACAATCTTGTTTCTTAAGGGATCAACTTCATACTTTAAATATATGTTCCTTATTATTAACCACATGTTATGGGACAAGGTTCAAAACTCTAGCACCAATATTTCAAGAATTATCTCCCCATAAACATAGATTTTCTTTACTTGAAAAGGTTATTTTTTAGTATAACTTCTTTTGTTTTAAAGGTACATGTATCTACCTCAATCTTCAAATACTTATTCCTTATCATCAATTACATCTTATTTGACAAGGTTCATAACTCTTGAAGCAATATTTTCAGATTTATTTCTCTTTGAACTTAGGATTTTCTTTAAGACTTCTTATAACATGTATAACTTCTTTACTTTTTAGCTCACTTTGTGACAGGGTGAGCTTTTGTGATCGCTTTTCGTCTGGCGTCCGGCGTCCGTAAACTTTTACTTTAAATGACATCTCCTCATAAACCACTAAGCCAGTTTCATCCAAACTTCACAGGACTGTTCCTTTGGTGGTCACTTTTGAAAATTGTTCAAAGAATTTAATTTCATGCAGAACTCTGGTTGCCATGGCAACCGAAAGAAAAAACTTTAAATATCTTCTTCTAAAAAACCTAAAGAGCTAGAGCTTAGATATTTGGCATGAAACATCTTCTAGTGAGTGTCTACCAAGTTTGTTCAAATAAAAGCCCTGGGGTCAAAATTGGCCCCGCCCCAGGGGGTCATTGATTTTTCCCTTTATGTATATAGTAAAAACTTAAAAAAATCTTCTTTTAAAGAACCCAAAGAGCTAGAGCTAAGATATTTAGCATGAAACATCTTCTAATGGGTGTCTACCAAGTTTGTTCAAATAAAAGCCCTGGGGTCAAAATTGGCCTCGCCCCAGTGGGTCATTGATTTTTCCTATATGCATATAGTAAAAACTTAAAAATCTTCTTTTAAAGAAACCAAAGAGCTAGAGCTAAGATATTTAGCATGAAACATGTTCTAATGGATGTCTACCAAGTTTGTTCAAATAAGAGCCCTTGGGTCAAAATTGGCCCTGCCCCGGGGGACATTGATTTTCCTTATATGTGTATAGCAAAAACTTAAGAATCTTCTTTGAAAAGACCCGAATAGCTAGAGTTTAGATATTTAGCATGAAACATCTTCTAGTAAGTGTCTACAAAGATTGTTCAAATAAAAGCCCTTGGGTCAAAACTGGCACTGTCCCAGGGGTGTCATTGTTATCAAACCGAGTCTGCAATTCTTATGTAATTTTGTTGGGATTAATGCTTCCGAGGGATCACTTTGTTTCCAGAATTTTTTAAATATATGTGTAAAGAAAAAACTTAAAAAATTTTCTTTTAAAAATCCAACAAGCTAGACCTTAGATGTTTAGCATGAAACATGTTCTAATGGGTGTCTACCAAGTTTGTTCAAATAAAAGCCCTGGGGTTAAAACTGGCCCCGCTCCGGGCGGCCTATATACAGGTTAGCGACTTCAGGGCCATCATGGCCCTCTTGTTTAGGTATCTTCTTCAAATTTCAAATTTATATTCCTGATCATTACAGTCATGTTGTTTGACAAGATTCATAACTCTAGCATAACTATTTCCAAAATTATATCCCCTTGAACTTGGAATTTATGTTAACAAATGTTTTTTTACTATAACTTAAACATAATTATACGTTTATTTATTTTTCATGTCCCACAAAGTGGGGAGCATATAGTGTTGCACTTGTCCGTCCGTCCGTACGTCTGTCTGCCCGTACGTCACGAAATCTTTGTGAACGCAAATCCTCTTAAACTGGATGGCAGATTTTGCTTAAACTTCCAGGGATGAACAACCTTAATGTGTAGATAGAAGTAAAGGAAGGAATTTTCACTGCGACCAAATTTAACAGAATTATGGCCCTTTGTTGATTTTTTATACTATATACTATGTAGAAATTTTGTGAACGCAACTCCTCTTAAACCGGATTGCAGATTTTGCTTTAACTTCCAGGGACGAACAACCTTAATGTGTAGATGGTAGTAAAGGAAGGAATGTTTGCTACGACTAAATTTAACAAAATTATGGCCCTTTGTTGATTTTTTCACTATATACCATATAGACATTTTGTGAACGCAACTCCTCTTAAACCGGATGGCAGATTTTGCTTAAACTTCCAGGGATGAACAACCTTAATGTGCAGATGGAAGTAAAGGAAGGAAGTTTTGCTGCGACCAAATTTAAAAGAATTATGGCACTTGGTTGATTTTTTCACTATATACCATATAAATGTTGTCAGTGGGGGCATCCATGTCCTTTGGACACAGTCCTAGTCTTTCATAGTTTTGTCTTCCTTACTGTGTCCAGTATTTTATTAGTCAAGCTTCGATGTCTCCTGAGACAGCTTTTTGTTGACCCTGCTTGTGGTGACCTTGACTTACTTGTCACTTTTGGCATATAATTTGGTGTATGTGCATGCGTCCGTTCGTTCGTCCGGATTTGTGTGGTCTATATCTTGCTCATTTTTTAGGGCTTTGCGCAAAACCTGTGTCCGTAGCGTTGCTTCTACATGTGTGACAGGAAATTGGAATATGATAGAACTTGAGAAAGATCTACTTTATAAATAGGCGGAGTGTCACACAAAAATTGCATGTGTTTTTAGCAAAGATCAAGGTCTAATCTCAGGGTCAAAGGTCAAATAACAAATAAAGACATTCATTTGTGAGTATTACTGCTAAATACATGAATTAATTTTGATATAACTTAGAACAAAATTTCTCCATTGTGAGTTGACATGTCTTGCGCAAAGTGAATGTCAAGGTCAAATGAAAGTATTAAAATTTGTTTGTCCCCATTGAATCTTGCTTATGCTTTGAAGTATTATGCTTAATATTCTGAGGATTTTTGTCAAGCCTGCTTGTGATGAACTTGACATAGTTGTCAAAATGGCTGTTCAGTTTTTGTGTGTGTGTGGGTGCGTCCAAGTTTGTCAATGCCATAACTTCTTAGTGCATGCAGAAATTTTCAAGTAACATGAATTGAGTTTTTTAGGCACAAATGTTCGTCATTAGACTTTTTGTCATGCACTGAACCACATCACCGGTCAGAGGTCATGGTCACCTAAGATGATGCAATGTCAAGATTTTTCCTTGGGTTAAAGAAAGTTGTGTTGTGCACATCTCACCTATGTATCATCATTCTTCTTGATCTGAAGATTATAGGTTCAGGTTTGAATTTAGAAGAGCAGGCTTGACGTTTTACCGTAGGCATGTCTTTTTACTCCATGTGAATTCAAGCATTAAAGGAATATAAAATTCATATGGAATTGAAATAGCTAGAATTAACTTAATTGTTCTCAATATTTTATAGCCTGAAATAATCATCAGTTTAGCAGGAAAGTCGCCAAATGACATTGACAGTGTTTGTTGGTTTGATCAAACAATTTTACGAATATTAAGTGTTTGACTGAGTGCCTGAATTCTGTTTTTTCTTGGGGTGCTTATCTTATGACACCATTTTCCTTTAACTTGCAGCTGACAAAAAAGATGTTAGTGATGAAACAAAAAAAAGAAAGCTTGCTAAAGATTGGCAGGTATATTTAACATACTGTTATAGTAAATAATAGGATTTTTTTTGGTATGATGATTCTTTAAGTTACCATTGTAAGTAATGCATTTGCTGTAAGCCTTTTTTCTCACATGTGTCAATTTACGATTTGTAATAGATTGTATCTGTACTTTGTGTCAGTTTTGATTTTATTGTAAGTTCATCTTTTGAAAGCGCACACAGTGATGATATGACTTGTTAATATTGTCGTCAGTTTCTCAATATATTCTCAAAAAGCAGCTTTGACTGCACAATAGCATCTTCATTTTCAATTTGATTTAAACAAGCATACACAAACTATAAGCATAACTCTATCTTGTCTATTTTTGAAGTTATTGCCCTTTGTTCATTTTTTATATGCCCAAAAGGGCATATTATGTTATACCCCATGGCGTCCTTCCGTCTGTTAGCAATTTGGTTTCCGGAGCATAACTTAAGTTCCATTTGGCCCACAATGTTCCAACTTCATAGGATGATTGTCCATATTGGGTAGACGACCCCTATTGATTTTGGGGTCAAAAGGTCAAAGGTCAAGGTCACTATTACCTTAAAACTTAAAACAGGTCCGTCCGTTAGCAATTTGGTTTCCGGAGCATAACTTAAGTTCCATTCGGCCCACAATGTTCAAACTTCAAAGGATGATTATCCATATTGGGTGGAAGACCCCTATTGATTTTGGGGTCAAAAGGTCAAAGGTAAAGGTCACTATTACCTTAAAACTGAAAACAGGTCCGTCCGTTAGCAATTTGGTTTCCGGAGCATAACTTAAGTTCCATTTGGCCAACAATGTTCAAACTTCATAGGATGATTGTCCATATTGGGTAGAAGACCCCTATTAATTTTAGGGTCAAAAGGCCAAAGGTCAAGGTCACTATTACCTTAAAACTGAAAACAGGTCCGTCCGTTAGCAATTTGGTTTCCGGAGCATAACTCAAGTTCCATTTGGCCCACAATGTTCAAACTTCATAGGATGATTGTCCATATTAGGTAGAAGACCCATATTGATTTTGGGGTCAAAAGGTCAAAAGCCAAGGTCACTATTACCTTAAAACTTAAAACAGTTTCCAGAGCATAACTTAAGTTCCATTTGACCCACAATGTTCAACTTCATAGGATGATTGTCCATATTGGGTAGAAGACCCCTAATTATTTTGGGGTCACAAGGTCAAAGGTCAAGGTCACTTGTACTTTGATACTGAAAACAGTTCTGGAGCATAACTTAAGTTCCATTTGGCCCACAATATTCAAACTTCATTGGATTATTGTCCATAATGGGTAGAAGACCCCTATTGATTCTGGGGTCAAAAGGTCAAAGGTCAATGTCTCTTTAACCTTAAAATTGAAAACAGTTTCCAGAGCATAACTTGTGTTCCATTTGACCCACAATATTCAAACAAGAGGTATACTTACTTGTGTCCAAAACCTATTTGGGGAGAATCACCTGGTTCAACGGTTCTTGTTTTTCTCTAACTAACACATTCCTGACCCCTTGTTGCATTACACAGTAAAAACCATTTAAATGCCCAATATTTGCACATAAACATTTATCTGTTTTATTTGCATTATCTTATTTATTACAGTTTTTATCAATCTTGCACATTGTTACCGTTTGGCCTTAAATTTTCATTTTAAAGGGCTAAAATGTATTGTAAATTGTTTGCCTCTTAAATACCTGTAACTGATGACAGATAGGCATATTGTTAAATCTTTTGAAGTTTTCTTCTACAAAATGTTCAATGTCTAAAATTTTGATAATTGACATGTATAAAGATTGTTCAAAACATTGGAATGAAAGTCCCACCTTAAAAAATATAAAGCACTACTACACTTTTCAGAAATGGACGTGTTTACTATAACAATTTAAAGTTTCATTACAAATTTTACAAACATTTTTAGGATACTCTAGATGAAAGTATGCAGATGCCGACTGTAGATTCAAAAACAGCAGATGTCTCAATTTGGGACTTTGCAGGACAGACAGAATTTTATGATACCCACCAGGTTTTCTTATCCAAAAGAGCGATATATCTGCTAGTCACTGACATGTCGAAACAAGTGAATGATATAGTTGAAGATGGTAACAAAAATTGGAAAATATCAGGTATTCATTTGTCAGATATCAAAAGGTATTGAATTCTCGAATGTATGGTGCTGTTTATTCATTGCAATAAATACTAAACATTCTCCGGAATATTTAAGATACATTTTAAACTTTAAATAGTTTGAGAAGGCATGCTTTTTTCATGGATATCTAAATTGTAAAATATTTTAGCTATGCTTGAAATTACTATACCCTCACAAACATATTTTAGGGGGGTATATAGGAGTCAGCTTGTCAGTTGGTCCGTCCATCTGTCGATCATTGTTTCCGGGTGATAACTAGAGTCTGGAATAAGGTATCATAATCAAACTTGATATAAAGCAACCTTATGTGGAAAGCCCGGTTGGTATCACATTTGGACCCCCTGGGCTGGGGTGAAGGTCGCCAATACAAAAATAGAAAAATGGTTTCAAGACAATAACTAGAGTGAAAAAGAACCATAACTCTGTTAAGCCTCATTTTTTAATTATCTCCCCTTATAGAAAAATCTTGTCCGGGACATAACTCTAAAACTATAAAAGATATCAACATGAAACTTTTTAGGTGAACAGATCTCAATAGGTAGATGTGCAGTGCATAAGACCAATAACTCTTTTTGTCCTAATTTTGGAGTTCTTGCCCTTTGTAAATTTTAACACTTTGAACTTTGTCCGGAACATAACTCTTAAACTATAAGAGATATCAAAATAAAACATTGTAGGTAGATAGATCTCATTCAGAAGAAGTGGAGTGCAAAAGAACCATAACTCTTTTAAGCCTCATTTTTGAATTATTTCCCCTTTTAGATGTCCAGGACATAGCTGTAAAACTATAAAAGATATCAACATGAAACTGTAGGTAGATATATCTCAATGGGTTTGATGTGTGTGCACAAGAATCATAACTCTGCATTGCCTAATTCTGGAGTTATTGTCCTTTGTTTATTTTTACTTTTTGAAGTTGTCCGGGACATAACTCAGAAACCATAAGAGATATCAACAAGAAACTAATTGTAGGTTGATAGATCACATTGATTAGAAGTGCAGTGCAAAGAACAGTAACTCTTCCTTGCCTAATTTCAGAATTATTGCACTTTGATCTTTTTCCACGGACATAACTCTGAAACTACAAGAGGTGTACTTTCCTGTGTCCAAAACCTATTCGGGGAGCATCACCCGGCTCAAACCGGGCTCTTGTTTCAAGGAGTTTCTGTTTTTTTTATAAATCACATATTTATCTTCTTATCTGTCTTATCTAACACTATGTTATTACATGTTCTCATTATAGTGTAAGATAAGACATATAAGAAGATAAATATATGATTAGAAACTCCTTGAAAAAGAGGGGTTTAACCTCTCAAAACATTGGAGATAAAAAAGTTTGTGCAGTAGATAGTTATTCATTTTCTATAGGTTGAGTTCAAATTTTTCTTCAGTCCACTTATTTTTCAAAAAGTCAATGTTGCCTGCTGGGATATTAATCACCTTCTAGTTGTTTTAGTTTTAAAGAACTTTAATGCAACACCCAAATGAGCAACAGTAAGACATATTCATTAAGTCAATTAACTAGGAATTACTTATATTTTTTTTAAATAATTCATTAGTTCTCTTGTGTAATATTCTAATTTTTTTCATTATGAATTTATGATTTTGTTCATATTGTAGCAAGATAAGTTTTTATTTGTTTATATCTTGTACAAAAATATGTACTGTATATGTTTGTATAACCAGAATTTGTTGACTTTTGGCTGACTTCAATTTATGAGTTTTGTGGTACAAAAGACAGTGATGGTCCACCAGTTATACTTGTTGGAACTTTTGCAGACAAATTGAAACAGGTGACAAATGTAAATTACATTATTATACCCTCCAGTTTGAATTTTGGCATTGTAGTTTCACAAAATAAGACTGAAATAATGTGTTGTCTCAAACATGGTTATATCATCTGAGTGACCTCAAGAGCGAAGCCAATATTGACCCAAGGGGCATGATTGAAAACAGTTTTATACAGGTCAACAAGGCTCTGCTTTAGGTTAAATTTCTAAACTCTAAACACTAGTTTCATCTAAATAAGAATTAAATGTGTTTTTCTATACAAAGCTATGACCCCCCCCCCATCTCCCCCAGACAAGGCAAATATTGACAGGTGCATGACTCACTGTATATTTTGTAGTCCACAAAGTTATGTTCTAAGCTTAGGGCATTGTAGTTTCACACAATAATTCTCAGATGTGTTTTGTCAATATAAGTCTTTATAACTTAAGTGGGGCTGGGGCAATATATAACCAAGGGACATGATTCATGTCAGTTTTTTTTAAAAGTCAATGAGGTGATGCCAGGTGTTAAATAATCTAAGCTCTAGTCATCATAGTTTCACTTAGAATTATTTTCCTATGTAATTCTATATAAATCAAGTAATCATCTGTGTTCTACACATCGTCTCATTATAAGTTATATTTCTGCCATTTTTTTAAAATTTCTTTCTATTGGTTAAAAAATTCAAATCGGACACTAAATATTGAAATTGATACAAAATAATTAAGTCTTACTTTGACCTGAGGAAGGTCATACCTGTGTTCTGCACATCCTTGTTACAAGGTACAAAAAGTATATCCCTTCTGGAAAAATTGTTCCGCCATTGGTCACGAACGTACATTGATTTATATGGAACAATTTTATTTTTGTTGTGAGAAACTATGTGTGCAAGATGAAAAATATTTAGCAGGAAACTTTGCTTAGTAGACATTTATAAGATTAAATAAATTTTACAGGCTTCTTTTTATTGATTTCTAAGTATAACCTAAGCTATATAGGAAACATGCTTAATTTTACAAAACTTTTCTACTTAGTAGATGCAGTGCCTCGATATTAGATGTATGATTACCTTGTAATGATTAATATATTCTACATAAATTATGCCCTGTGATCAAAATTTGACTTGCCTTCTAGGCCACTTATTGTTTAGTTCAATATATTTGAAATATATATAATGGCCGGGAGTGAAATTGGGCTCTGCACTTGGGTCACTTTCATGAGATAATTTTGTATGGAACACACAAAGCTTAGATATTTAGCATGTTGCAAATTGGATCTTTGCAAAAGTTTTATGTATCATGTAATAAGGGTTAAAGAAAGTTTCGGTCAAGGGACATAATAAATTCAAGTAGGAGGTTAATCTAACATTTGTAGGAAAATACATCACTTGGTTATAGCTTCCAAAGGATCTCTCTTTTCCATAACTTTAAAATTGATTTCATTAATACATTATCTGATCCCTGTGGTTTTTAACAAACTGAAGAAAATATAGTAAAAGAAAACAAAAAGTAATAATTATACCATATTTAGCTTTATAGCATAAAATCGGCTATTTTTCCCTCTTTTGTCCATGTTATAACGGGACCAAAACCATGTGTTAACATAGTCACGCGCTCTTGTTATAGCCCGGTTTCACCTATGCGCAATACATACAGGGCCCAGTAAACAAACAAACAAAAAATGACGATTTGGCCTGTTTGCCAAAGAGTCATCCGCTCTTGTTATATTGAAATTTATTGATTCGAGGGCCTCAGTCGCATATTCAAGTAACTATGCCGGAAAAACGGCGTATAGACATAGGTGCTAATCTTGGTTGTCGCCCTTTCTAAGAAACGGACAGTTGTCAATGTAAACAAATACAGTAGAATCTACCTGTCATTCAGTTTAACACTCCGATTAACTTACAAAACTAGATAACACAAAATTAATATGAGAAAATGTTTTTTTATTTATGTTAATGTTGATAAATGCTCATTATATTTCTTTGTGAGAATACTGCTTAGTGCCTGATTTTTTTATAAACTTGTCTGCTTGAAAATTAAACCGATTCTGATGTCACTGATCTTTTTTCTACCGTCAATCTGAAATCATTCTAAGAATTTCTGAGGGTCATGTTTTGTCTTGGGTAGAGGATAGAGTAATGTAACGTTTTATTTTTTTCTTGAGATAATAAATCTCCAAAGGCCAAGCTTTGTTGAATCAATTAAAATTCAAAATTTCGTTTGATTCCGAGAATTTTTCAAGTTGTTGGCCCCGGAAAAATGAAACGGATACGTAAAACATAGAATTGGATAAATACCGTCCAAGCACAAGAATTTAATGTAATTGTGTTTTGTATAAACTAAACATTACAAATTTGTTTGAAAATTTTATGCTATAAAAGCGTCAACGCACGTTTATTTCGTGTTATAAAGTCTGCAGAGTCCCTCGGAACTGTTGGAGCCCTCGCCCTACCGGGCTCGGGCACCAACCGTTCCTCGGGACTCTGCAGACGTTATAACACGGAAAAACGTGCGTTAACCCTATACAATTGAGTACAATGATGTGAATAGATATTTGATTAGGATCTGTTGTGATTGGAGTTCATTTTTTTATTTACAACACATCCTTAACCACATTCACTGGAATGATGCCTATGTAATTCTCTACAAAAGTTATTTTATGGTTCTTGTTTAATGCATAATGCTAGATCACAGGAACCTAAAGTCAAAAGTCAGAAGTGTTATATCTAATATTCTTACCTGGGATAACACTATGCCTGAAATGGGTAAGAGTCACGTAGTTTACACAGATTTATGTAGGAAAACATTTAACATATTTATTTCACCATGTGTGCAGACATCGATTATTGGTAAAATGGGTAACGTAGTGTACTTCTGTAAAGGTTATATCAATTAAGTGCCCTTGCAGTCAAAATGTGGCCTACCAATCAGGGGTCACTCAGTTAACATATTTATATTTATATCATGCAAACGCAATAAAAAACCCTGATGTGAAGTTACATGACATAGTACTCAGAAATTTGTCATGTCATATTGCCTGCTGCAAAAAATATTGTCAATAATAATTACCCAGCCATATATAACAAAGACTTTTGCATTTAAAAGATAAGATATCTTTTGGTAATTGGTCACAGATGACTGATTGATGGCCAACATGGCACTTGTGTTATACATTACATTCTTGCATATAAGACAGGATTATCTACGGTTTACACCAGTGCTAGAAAACCCTGTCTTACACCCCAATTTAAGACAAGTCACATGCTTTAAATGACGTCATTGCCATGCGCATTTTATGAATGAATTGCGTGAACAGTTATGAATGAAGTTGTCAGTTCATGCACTACTATAAGAAAAAAGTGCATAATCAGTTTTCGTAGTTTCTGTTCTAAAAATAATTGATATATAATATGCAAGAAAAAGAATCAAACACTGGCTGTTGGTGCAGACTGGAATATCTCAGGTAACTGTTTAGCGGAAACTTGGCAAAGCCTCGTTACTGCCGTAAACAGTCACCCTCGAGTCTGTACCAGCAGCCGGTGTAAGATTCATATAACATTCTACTGAATTAAAATTTAAGTAGAAATTTTTAAGTGTTTCAAGAGTTAAGATATATTGATATTTTAGGGAAAATCATGAAAGCATTATCTTTATAAGCAGGAGTCAAAAGAAGAAACCATCGGTACTTTTTTCTGCGATTTGAGGAAATGTCTTATCGATTATAAGGCAACATTCAATCTTCTGAAAAAGTGCATTCCAATCGACAACTCTATAAAGGATGATAAAATAGAGGAACTGAAACAACATATTGTAGAACAGGCTTCCAAACAAGCGTATTGGGGTGAACATTACCCAGCCAAATGGATTACATTAGAAAGAAGTATTGGCAAATGGAAGGATAAAGGAGAAAAGGTACTACTTTGGCATTAATATAAATTCAGTTTTTTATGTTAGACCTCACCAAATTTATTTCTTGTCCGTCAGATTTTTTTTACAGAAAAGAAATTGGCAGGCGAGTGAAAATTTTGTTTTTAATTCATAGTTTTGATGAGGTAGTAAGCAAAAATATATTCTTCAGTTATAAGGAGCAAGTGAAGAAGAAAGACATTAATCTATTAATACAAGGGACAACCATAGACTGACGTGACTTTTACCTTCAGGAAAAAAAAATAGGTAGAAATTATGAGATAAAGGAAGAAGTGTTGCTTATTATATGTCACAGTTATAGTGGCTTTTTCAGTTTTCAGCTCACCAAAACCGAAGATTCAGGGTGAGATATTAGTATCAAAGGGGGATACTCCGTTGTCATGCGTCAATAATCGTCTCCTTTTCTGAAAATGCTGGGCAGATTTACCTAAAATTTGGTCGGTAGCATCCTTGTGACAATCACACTTAAATTTGCTCATATCATTTCATTTGTTCCCTTTAAAGGGTCAGCAGAGCTAAAAATAGAAACACTTTTAAACATCTTCTACTACAGAACTAATTGATGGATGATCACCAAACTTTGTCTGTAGGTTTCTCATATTAATTTGATGGCCCCTTTTAGGTGTTTCTAGCGCAAAAAATAAAAAAAACCTTCAGACATCTTTTTCTACAGAACTTATTGGTGGATGATCACCAAACTTTGTCTGTAGCATTCTAATGTAGTCTTTTATCAAGTTTGCTCATATTAATTTGATTGCCCCTATTAGGGGCCGCTAAAGCTAAAAATAGAAATACCTTTAAACATCTGCTTCTACAGAACTAATTGATGGTTGATCACCAAACTTTGTCTATAGCATTCTATGGTAGTTTTTTTATCAAGTTTGTTTATATTAATTTGATTAGCCCCTTTTAGGCGCAGCTTAAGCTAAAAATAGAAAACCTTTGAACATCATCTCCTACTGAAATAATTGATGGATGATCACCAATTTTTGTCTTTAGCATTCTTATGTAGTCTTTTATCAAGTTTGTTCATATTAACTTTGATCGGCCCGTTTAAGCTAAAGCTTAAAGATCCTGTAACACAATTTTTTCATGGTTTTATTTCATAAATATGATGCTCAAATTAAGATTTGTCAATATTGTAAGTTCCAATAAGCATTATTTATAAAGATATTACCCAATTTAACATTTCATGTAAATAAAGGGAGGTAATTAGAACTTTATTTTCTATAAATTCTAAGTCAAATTTTCCAAAAAGAAATACATGCATGTAATTTATTGATCAAATATAATGTGCACAAATATTTGCAGTACACATTTTACATATTCTTCGATGTTTGAAAATTGTTTTATTTGCATAATTATATACATATATAATTTTTTGCAAGTGTGGTATACACACAGTAACAATATCAATCACAAAACATACAGGATCTTTAAATGCCCAAGATCATGGCATTTCTTCAAATGATAGTTTAAAGATTTTTAATGCTCATATGTAATATTAAAAAATATTGACAATGCATAATTTCCAACACTGAAAAGCAACATAGATTCCGACACTGAAAAGCAGTTGTTTCTGGTGAGCTACTCAGGGCCATAATGGCCCTCTTGTTCTTTTCCTAGCCTTTATTATTCCCCTACTTGTTTACCGGAGGGGACTTTAGGTTTACCCACCATCCGTCTGTCCGTCCGTCCGTCCGTCCGTCCACAAAACTGGATCCCGTGATAACGCAAAAAGTACTGAAAATATTTTTATGAAACTTGATTTATGGATAGATGGCAGTACGGAGATTATGCACATCTTTTTCTTTTCTTCCTATGTTGAAAATTCTGGTTGCTATGGCAACAAATAGACTGAAAATATGGCAAATTTTACACATAAACTGAATCTAGTGATAACTCAAAAATTACTGGAAATATTTTTATGAAACTTGACATATGGGTACATGGCAGTCTCGAGATTATGCATGTCTGATCTTTTCTTCCTATTTTGAAAAAAATTTGGTTGCCTTGGCAACAAATAGGCTTAAAACATGGCAAATATAACAATATTTGTGATTAGTCAAAAAGAGCTGAACATTTTTATGAAATTGCATCTTTAATTCAAGAGATATCTCCTCTTTAAGAAATGTTATATTTTGGTAACAGGGATGTTTCAAATATTAACTTTAGAGTGTCCTTCAGTCCCTCTGTCTGTCTGTTCATAAAAACTGTTTCCTGTGATCACTTTTAAAGAACTTTTCCAACAAATTTACTTAAAATAGAGAAAAATTGAAACATTAGTGAATGGCCAATGGCCTTACGGAATGTTGATGGGGTTCTAACAGGTAGGGGACTTATGGATTGCTTGCAATACTATGATAATTGCTTGTTATATTTTTGCATGCAATTATGTATCTGAAACAGTATGAAACTTACACATTAGACTTATTAGTTATAAAGATTTCTGACAGGATATATGGCCCTATATAAACGGTTGTTTGGAAATATCACCTGAGCCACTAGGCTTGGGTTATATTGCAAACAACCGTTTATATACGGCCATATAACCTGTCAGAAATATTTATAAAGAATTTATGATACAGCAAGCATCATTGATATTCAGAAAAGTGAGGTTTCTACATAAATCGACAGCAGTCGTGTATATAAAGCTATATTAACGTCATGATTATCCAATGAAAAGCTACGTGAACAACATGCAGTATTATAAAGGATTATAGAAGCAGGTCACTGACCAATGCCCATAACTTTAACATTGATTTTGACAGAATTATGACTTTTTTAAATTTTGAAAATTGTACATTATCCAAGCTATTGTTTTATTATAAAGCATGATGAGAATTGTCAGGTGTACTGTCCCACCAAAAACTCTTGTATACATTAAAAAAAATTCTTGTATTATACATATGTTAAAGTATATGACACGCAAGTAGAACATTGTCAATAATTAAATGAAGTTGCAGAAACCTTTATATCAACACTGCATGCAAATTACAGATACTAAAAAAGGACCAACTATTTGATCTGAACAGCAAATTACCTGTTCCAATTAAACAGAAGGATGGACTGGATTTGTTCTTACGTTTTCATCACGACTCCGGAAATATTTTGTACTTCAGGTATGAATCCTTGTTATAGAATAATTATATATCTTGATCTGTAACAGGTATTTTACTTGACAGACTCTTTTAGGCTACGAGTGAGGTCCAGTTTTTATCAATTTCCAAATTTTTTGTCCTCTGTATCTTTTGAACCGATAAAAAGAAATTATTTTTTTTCGAAAGAAATACTACTTATAATGAGACTATGAACAGAGCGCTGGTTTGGACTTCTTGTGATCAAATTGGCCCCAACCTGAGGATTACTTTGTTCAAATAGACTTGTAAAGGAATGCACATCTAGGTTTCATTGTATGGAACTAATTTAATTGTACAGAAACATAAATATCTATCTCTGTTCCTACTATTAAGTGTTGTATGAATGTGGTGGCATTAGCATTTTGCACAAATTCAATCTTGTTTTATATATATTCAATATGTATTTTTCACTGAATCAAGTAATAGAATATATATAATATTTATGAATGGTATTGAATTCTTATACATGGACATGGATTGTATAATATGATAAAGGGTATAATACAAGATAATTACCAAACAAGGAAAAAGGACGTTATGACATTTTAATTGTTTGATAAATTATGAATTTTCTTCAGTGAAGAGGAATTAAGCAACACTATTGTCCTTGATCCACAGTGGTTGATAGACGCTTTCAAAAGTCTCATTACTGCTCGATATTTCTGCATCAGCCAAGATCCAGCAATATTTCAAGAATGGATCAAGTTTGAAGAGAGTGCAATTTTGAAAGTAACACTTGTTGGTAAGTTAAGTGTTAAAAAGAATTGCAGTATCTTTAAATTAATATGTACTAAAATAGATTGATTTCTGATTAGTCAAAACATTGTTTTAGGGTGACCTTTGTGATTACTCTGCCTCAGCGCATCATGCATTCAGCCTATTATTTGTGTCATTTTCTTGAAACAATATCTTCTATAAAGAGAGTCCAATATTGTTAAAAGTAAACATGAATGTTTCAGCATGAAGGTGGTTAAAAATTAAAGCCAAAGAGCTGGAGCTTAGCTATTTAGCATAAGGTGTCTACAAAATTTGTTCAAATAAAACGTTAGCCCTGCCCTAAGAGGTAATTGATTTTTATGCTCCCCAAAGGGTGAGCATATAGTCGCTGCTTTGTCCGTCAGTCTGTCCTTTATCCCTATTCAGTCGGATGCCGTTCGCTATTCTTGTCCGGAACGTAACTTTGAAACAACAAAAGGTAGCATTATGAAATTTTGTATATAGATAGATCTAATTGAAAGAAGTGCATTGCAAAAGAATCATAACTCTGTCTTGCCTCATTTTGAAGTTATTGCCCTTTGTTCATTTTAACACCTTGAACATTGTCCGGGACATAACTCTAAAACTATAAAACTATAAGAGATACCAACATGATTGCCTAATTTTTGAGTTATTGCTCTTTATTAGTATCAAAGGGGGATACTCTGGCGTCCGTCTTCCGCCGTCATGCGTCAACAATCGTCTTCTTCTCTGAAACTGCTGGGCAGATTTACCTAAAATTTGGTCTGCAGCATCCTTGTGACAGTCACACTTAAGTTTGCTCATGTCATTTCAATTGGCCCCTTTTAGTGGTCAACAGAGCTAAAAAAAGAAAAATCTTTAAACATCTTCTTCTACAGAAGTAAAAGATGGATGATCACCAAACTTTGTCTGTAGCATTCTTGGGTAGTCTTTTATCAAGTTTGCTCATATTAATTTGATTGCCCCCTTTTAGGGGTCTCTAGGGCTAAAAATATAAAAACCTTTAGACATCTTCTTCTACAGAACTAATAGATGGCTGATCACCAAACTTTGTCTGTAGCATTCTTGGGTAGTCTTTTATCAAGTTTGCTCATATTCTTATTTATATACCATATTTTGTTTTGATGTGATGAATTTGAATTTCATTTATTGTGTATTTATAGAAAAGATCTGGGAGCTGAAAGAGAGTACTAAGTTTCACAAACACCTCCTGTTAAAGTATCTGGAGAAACTAGGTATCATTGCCAAACCTCATCATCTTCCTGGTACAACTGATGTGAGTATAAAACGTATAAAGATGATTATATAAATGACATAGATTAACAGTGCAAGCAATTATTTCATGCAACATTCAGTATCTGATTTAGTTATATAAAATATTAAGATCATCTGGTCTTGAAAAGTAATTAGATATAAATGACTGAAGTCAAAAGGTCTAAAGACATAAACTTTCAAATCCTTACACTGTCTTCATAATTGGCATTGAGGTTGGTTATGACAAGTAAATGACTCCTATTGATTTCGAGGTCAAATGTCAAGGTCAGAAGGACTTTGACTATAAAAAGCTTGTCTGCCCAATAACTAGTATCCTTTGACCCTCAGTCTTCATATTTGGCATGGGGGTTAGTCATGACCGTCAGCAGACCCATAATGTTTTTCAGGTCACTGGGCCAAAGGTGAAAGTCACAGGGCCTTTGACTTCAAAAAGCTTGTCCGCCATATAAGAATCCTTTGACCCACAGTCTTCATATTTGGCATGGAGGTTGGTCAAGACCATTTTGTGACACCTATTGATATTGAGGTCACTGGGTCAAAGGTTAAAGTCAAGGGCATTAAGTCCAAAAGGCCTATCCGCTCAATTGCTTAAGAATGCTTTGGTCAACAGTCCTTTTATTAAGTATTGAGGTTGATTATGACTAGTACATGATTCTTACAAAGCAGTATGCGGATGACAGAGGCAGTACTATTTTCTGAACAGTATTTGATTAGGTTAACAAAACTCTTATAAAAAAAGGTTAATAAAAGCATAGACTGTAAGGTTTTATCTTCGTATTTATAAATTTGCAGCTTTAATGTTCTTGAACAAAACTCGTAGTAAGGATTTTAAGGAACAATAATATTTGGTCATTTTGCAAAATAATGATGGTTCTGGTTAAATGGGGTGAGCGAATGATTTGACAATTTGCACACAGATTATTTGCCCTGACCATCAAATATTTGTTTATTTCGGTCATGTCAAAAAAAACTCAGTGGAGTCCTTTTAAGAAGTATTTTCTGTAACTTCATGTTTGATCATTACAGGTAACTGATTACTACTTTGCTCCATGTTTCCTTAAACAAACACCACCAGATGATTTGTTATCTCCAGAACGGTTACCTGAAAATAGGAGGTCGACCAGTAAACTGTGCTTGACAACAGAATTACATTTTCTACATGCAGCTGTTTTCAACAAACTCCTTGCAGCTTGTATCAATAAATGGCAGCTATCAAAAAGAGATGGAAAATACTTGGTTTACCGTGGATGTGCTATATTTGATCTTGAACAAAATCATACACTTTATGTGTATTTTTTCAATCATGTTATTCAAATATGGCTCACAAAATGCAGCACTAAAAAGGAAAAGCCTAGCCAATCTGTATGTCTTGATGTTTACACATTCCTCTTAGACCGGCTCACCAACTGTTTGAACCGTTCTGGTAACGTGAAGGTGTTATTCAAATGTTCGTCTTCAAAGCACAATTCAATTGAAAACATGTTCCCAATTGATGAACTGTCAGAAAAGTCAGAAGTTGTATGCAAATGCACGACAGAAGAGCATGTGTTTGAAACAAAGGAGCTTACAGAGTATTGGCTCAGTAAGTGTCAGTTGAATAACCATTTGGTATTATTAAGATATAAAAATGAATCAACTTTAAATCCAGGGTATTTTCATTGTTCTTTCATTTTACCGGTATATCATATGACTTATTGTGTGATCACCAAAAGTACAAAATAAAAAGTATAAAAATAAAGTTTGTTTCATGTAGAAGAGGTACATGATAATACTTTTAGTGTATGATATTTAGTGTATGAATCACCTTTCTCATGCTATAGTCTGTCAGAATGTTCAACAATGGCAAAATGCTTTTTAGCTTTTGAAAAAAAGAGGTATTGATATAGTCCTGGCGGCGTTGCCGTCCGCAAACTTTTACCTGGTGCATAACTTTTTATGCCCCCACAATGTGGAAGCATATAGCGTTGCACTTGTCCGTCCGTCCGTCCGCAATCACAGGAGAGTAATTATGTGGCTATAGGGACAATGGGCAACTGTTCTTTCTCTTTGATGTCATTCATTCTTTAATGCTTTTATGTGGCTATTTTCTTTTGTGTGGCTAAAAAGAACAATAGAGAGAACAATGGAGTAGCCACATAATTACTGTCCTGTGAGAACGTCAGTCCGTCCGTCCGTACGTCCCGAAATCTTGTGAACGCAACTCTTAAACCGGATGGCAGATTTTGCTTAAACTTACAGGGATGAACAACCTTAATGTGTAGATGGAAGTAAAGGAAGGAATTTTTGCTGCGACCAAATTTAACAGCATTATGGCCCTTTGTTGATTTTTTCACTATATACTATGTAGAAATTTTGTGAATGCAACTCCTCTTAAACCGGATGGCAGATTTTGCTTAAACTAACAGGGATGAACAACCTTAATGTGTAGATGGCAGTAAAGGAAGGAATTTTTGCTGCAATCAAATTTAACAGAATTGTGGCCCTTTGTTAATTTTTTCATTATATACTATGTAGAAATTTTGTGAATGTAACTCCTCTGAAACCGGATGGCAGATTTTGCTTAAACTTCCAGGGATTAGCAACCTTAATGTGTAGATGGGAGTAAAGGAAGGAATTTTTGCTGCGAGCAATTTAACAGAATTATGGCCCTTTGTTGATTTTTAGTTTTCAACTTGTGGCACATGTAGTCCAAAAAATATTTGACCTAGAGTCATAAGATTGACAGAACAGTGGCGTGTGGGGGCATCCGTGTCCTATGGACACATTTCTAGTTTAATTCTTGGTGTATTGTCTTTATACTTGGCCACAACAACCCTTGGGACAAGACCTTACAGGAAAGTACACTAACCTTGACCCTTATCCATAAATGACATTGACCTTCAAGGTCATGTATTGTTTAATAAGACCATATGTCCATTTCCCGCTCATGACTTTCTTTCTTTCATATATATTCATTCTTTGGCGGGAATGGTCTTATAAAACAATAAATGTGTTTGCCATAAGATATTTGTAATAAGAAAATTAATAGTGACTGAGTCAACCAACTGTGGTAAAAGAAGCTATAAATAGCTCGCCGCTATGGTAATAAAAGTGATGACGTCACAATATAGATAAAAATAACTTAAATATATAAGGCCAATTAGCACGAAGAAAAAGCAACGGCCGCTGTGCATACTGGACTGGCAATCCAGAGACCCGTGGTTCGAGTCCCTGCTGCGGTGTTTTATACTATGGTGACTCTTTTGTGTCCCTTCTTGTTGCTTTCTGGTATATGGTTAAGCATTTTCCCTTTGCCCCTAGTTTTGGTTAATTTATTTATTTTGCCCAACCCCCTTTCCCTGATTCTCAAGTCCCCTTCCACTAAACCCCTTTACTTTTGAAGGCCTCTAATAAATTTTCTTCTTTATTTTCCTTGTCGATTTCTTTTAATTCACATTATGTATTATTGATGTAATCACTTGTGTGTGCTTTGCTTTGTCCTCTTTTTGTTTGGTGTCATGCTGGGCTCCTTTCCTGTGGTCCTGTGTTGATGAGTCATGTGGGTTGTGTTTGTCAAAACGCCACCCTTATTTTTTATATGCCCATTTGAAAAATGGGTCGTTTTATAGTCTTCCTCCTGGCTGGGTCAAAGTTCAGATAAAAATATGAAAATGTGTATTGGGACTATTAGTCCTATTTTATTGAGGGATTGAAACACAAATGGTCATTATTATGACTAACAGTGTGAAATATGTAATTTAGGTTAATATATGCAAGGTCAAGGTCACTTAAGATTATGAAATACATGTATAGAGATTTTCAAACATGGATGGAGGGATTCTAATAAAACTTAATAGAAATGATCACCACCTTGAGAAGCAGTGCCACGTGCATGAACCAGGTCTCTAGGTCAAAGGTCACCCTTAAAGATAATTGAAAAACTCTTGTCTGGATCAAAACTTCTACATGCATAAAGGAATTTCAATTAAAGTCAGCTTAAATGTTCATCCTTGTGAGGTGGAGTGCCGCATGCAAAGTTCTGGACCCTGTTGCCAAGGCCAAGGTCACACATAAGAGTCAAATTTCAGATATTAATATGAAAATGTGTATTTGGACCATTTAGTTATCTTTTTTTGAAGGATTGAAACACAAATGGTCATTATCATGACTACAGGTGTTAATTTAGGCAAGGTCAAGATCACTAAAGATGATAAAATATAGAGATTTTGTCCAGAGCATATCTCCTACATGCATGATGAGATTCTTATTTAAACTTCATAGAAAAATTCAACACTATGAGAAGCACATGCATGAACCACACTTAGAGGTTATTGAAAAATGCTTGAGAAAAACTTCTACATTCATAGTGGACTTTTAAAGTTACTTTGCACAAATGTTCCCCATATTTAGGCTTAGTATTAGGCGCATAATCCAGGTCCCTGCTACCAAATTCACGGTCACATAGCTCAAAGTTAAGATAAAAGAGAAGATGTGTACAGGGACCATTAAGTCAACATTTATTGATGGATTGTACAACAAATGAATATATTATGACTACAAGTGTGACGTATGTTATTTAGGTTAATGTTTGAAAGGTCAATGTCTCTAGAGATAATAAAATATCAAATTGCCCAAAGCATATTCTATCTATAATGCCGACATCTCTGTCAAAGCCTTTGTGACTGGCATATTTTGCGACAATATTGCCCTTGTTTATCTTGTTTTGCATATTTTGATACCTTCATGCTATGGTTAGAGAACAATAATTCATTGAAAGAATTTTGAGAGAATATGAAAATTCAAGGAAAATACATTTGATTATGAAAAGCAACTGATAGAACATATAGCAAGGCTGAAAAAATATTGAAACACGAGACACTTTTCGGAAAAATGTGTCCGACTGATTACTATTCTTTTGTTATGATTGAACAGATACCTTTTCAATAGCCTTATAACAGAAACATCTCCTTGTAGTATTACTAGTCTATTCCACTACCTGTCTTGGCTGTTAAATGTATATTACATATTTTTTCACTGATTTGCTCATAATGTATTACTTTTAAACAGATTTTCATCTACTTCATTTGTAGATTCAAAAAAGTTTCCAAAAGATTCCTGTATATTTGATGGTCGATTGATAGTACTTGATAGCAACCAGATAAATGTTTTGGAAGCTTCATTAAATGAAAAGCCGATAGGACAAGGTGGAATTGGTACAGTGTATCGTTGCAGTAAGTATATGTTTCTTTTAATCGAGAGCTTTTGGTACCTTCATATTTATATTTTGATGATCTTTACTTTATATTAATCTACATACAAGATTGCTGAGTAAATTTTACTTGTTTTAAGCTCGACTTTTTTTTTTGAAATAAGAAAATAATTTTGTTACAGTCATGACAGCGAAAACGTTGATGTTGCCGTCCCGAACTATTTAAGTTTTTGTTGTTGTGTCTTATTACTTGGTGACAAGACCTCCAAGTAGACAAGACTAACCTCGACCTTCAGCATAAATGACCTTGACCTTTAACCCTTCCCCTCTGATTTTGTCCATCAAAATTTATTTCAAAGTGCTGCCACTTCTCAATGGACTAAGGTAGAGTTAAAGGCTATTCAGCGTTGGTTACACATTACATTTTGATCGACCTGGGGTCATTTTTTAGCCCTTTCACAATTCCAAAATTTTCTTGGCGATGAAGGGGACTACCGCCTCTCTTCGAACCCCCAAAACAGAAGGCGGCACATCCCCCTCCTGGCAACCCCCTGATGTACCTTTTTGATTAGGGGCGGCGATGAAAAAGTGGTCACTTTTTTAGCAACATTTCCCCAACGAAAAAGCATTGCTAAATAAGATCATTTTTTCACCTTTTGAGGCCTCAAAAAGGGGGATGTGGGTCAAAATGCCGTCAAAACACATCTATATGAAGTAAAAGGTTAACAAAAAATGATGAAAAACCTTTGAATCACCCAAATTCTATTTTTTTCATTTTAAAATGTGGCCTTTTACATAATTTTAGTGAAAAACTTATGTAGCATTTTTAATTTTTTTTATTAACAAAAAATGATGAAAAACCTTGGAATCACCCAAAATCTAGTTTTTCCAAGTTAATACGTGGCCTTTCACCTAATTTTAGTGAAAAATTGTTTTTTGTAGCATTTTTAATTTTTTAAATTAAACCTTCCCCTTATGAGCATATTGTGAAAAATGGCCGTTTGCATTGAAAAGCCTCTTGTTACAAATTAAAACTGCTATGAAACTATGAAAAATGCTTCAATACTAATCAAACTTTGCACACATGTTGACTGGACCATGGCCTTTGTAACGACATGCCCAGTCTTAAATTTCCTGTTACCATGGCAATGAGGGGACATCTGAAAATTGCCAAAAATCGCAATTTGACGTTGATTTTTTACATCAAAATTGGTTTTAAAGTGCTGCAACTTCTAAATGGATTCAGATAGAGAAAGAGGCTTTTTCAGCGTTGGTTATACATTACCTTATGATCGACCTGGGGTCATTATTAGCCTCTCACAAGTCAAAATTGTCTTGGCGATAAGGAGGACAACCGCTTCCCACTTCAAACCGCCCAAACATAAGGGGGCACATCCCCCTTCTAGCAACCCCCTGATGAACCTTTTTGATAGGGGGCTGCACTGCAAAAGTGATCATTTTTTAGCAACATTTCCCAAATGAAAAAACAGTGGTTGATGCTATATGTTTGTGATATGCATGGCACAACATTAAGGTCATGGTTTGTTAAAGTCAAGAAGTACACATTTATTTCTGATTCGTTAAGGATTAAGCTGTCAATCAAACAGCTTGCATTCAGTTTGTTTGTTTGTTTGAAGCAGAAAAACATATTATTGCTGTATTGATTTTAGCATGATTTATTAAAAAATTGAGTCTTGTTTCAATCATTGTTGTGTTTCTGTTGCTGTCCGAAAACGCTAACCTTGCTCATAGCTATTTAAGTTCTTAGTGTTTGGCGACAACAACTCTTGGGATAAGACCTTTAAGCACACCAGACTAAACTTGCCCTTCATTCAAAAATGATCTTGACTTTCAAGGTGCTGGTTTTTGCTATTACATGCTTTAACCTTGTTTTTAGCTCGACTATTCGATAAGAATAAGTAGAGCTATTGTAGACACCCGAGCGTCGGCGTCGGCGTAACCACTTTTGTTAAAGTTTTTGTAATTGTTCAAATATTTTCAAAGTCCATTGACATATGGCTTTGAAACTTTGCACACTTGTTCACCATCATGACCCCAAACCTGTAGACAGGAGGAGGTAACTCTATCAAGCATTTTGACAGGATTATGCCCCTTTTTCGACTTAGAATTTACGTTAAAGTTTTTGTAATAGTTCAAATATTTTCAAGTCCATTGACATATGGCTTTGAAACTTTGCACACTTGTTCACCATCATGACCCCAACCTGTAAACAGGAGGAGGTAACTGTATCAAGCATTTTTTTTTTACTATCAAGCACTAAGAATAGTCGAGCGTTGCTGTCCTACCGACAGCTCTTGTTTTTATTGGTTTATTTGCAAACTTTAACAAAAGAATATTTTAGGTAAACCAGACAAACATTATTGAATTTCTGTTAAGTTTTCATAATTTTGTTACTTATTAAAGGATCAGATTTAAACGTTGACAAAACAACACTTGTGACATAATGAACATGTTGAATAATTAAGATATGACCTTGACCTTTATATGGCTTTGTCAAATGATTGAATTCTGCTTATTTTTTCAGAACATTGTCATTAATTATTCATACTAAGACAAAACAAGAAGCGTGACTAGACAGAAATATTGCAATAAAAAACAAAAAAACCCATAAAAACTTTGCCTAAACTGTTTATATGTTGGCTTTTAGAAAAATAAGAAATAGTAAAGCATGGCCATATGCCTGGTGGTGGCTCTTGTTGATGCGTTCTTTCTGTATTTTTACAGACAATCCGGACATATTTGGCATCCCTGTGGCTGTGAAGAAGATAAATACAAAGGGTGATTCGAAAATTGAAAGTCAAGTCAGAAGGGTAATTTCATTATTATTTTTTAGCATAACTAATAATTTACATGTACAGTTTATGTAATTAACTTTAAGAAAATATTTAACCGATATCAGATTCAATACTGTACTGTTAGTTGCAGTCTGTTGAGTAATGCAACAATTTTCATGCATTACAGTTTCAGCTGTTTAAGGCCATATGAAAGTTTTCACAACTTACTTTTCGTTTCGATAACAAGTGGCTAAAATAATTAAACTTGTTGAAAAAATTGTTGACATAACATGTTTACTAAAGAAGGTTGAAACTGATTATCGGAATTTTTCATTTTAGGAGAAAATTGCGTGCAGACTGATGAACCCATTTATACTCCCTCTCTTAGCTGTTTTTGAGAAGTCAAATGAGTCAAATAAGTAAGCTATAATTTGTTAAATGTTTGTTGATGTTTTGCTCTGACATCGCCTTCGAGTATGCAATAGCGGTATCATAATAATATATGTCATTACATCTAATTATACTGTTTGTCCAGACTTGTGTCAAGATTTTTGTGCCCCCACTTTAGGGGAGGGCATTTAGATTTACATCACTATATACAGGGGTCACTAAGACAGTCTTTACTTAAGAAATAAGAATGTTGATCAGTGTGTGCAGTTGAGCACTTTTGGATTTATTATGTTTTGATAGAGTTGTTGCCCTTGACTTAGTAAAAATTTGCAATTTTCAAATTTTGTTGCACGTAGCTCAAAAAATATTTGACCTAGGGTCATGAAACTTTACAGAAATGATGCTGAGCATGTGAAATTGTGCACCTGGGGTCTAACTTGTGTTTTTTTCTGTTTTGTCAAAGTCATTGCCCTTGCTTTAGTAAAAACTTGCAATTTTCAACTTTTGTCTCACGAAGCTCAAATTTTTTTTTACCCAGGGTCATGCAACTTTACAGGATTGTTAATCTGCATGTGTAGTTGTGCACCTGGGTATTTTCGTGTGGATTTATTCAGTATTCGTAGAGTAAATGTCCTTGATTTAGTAAAAAATTGCAATTTTCAACTTGTGTTGCACATAACTCAAAAATTGCTTGACTAACAGTCATGAAACTTCATAAGAATGTTGTTCAGTATGTGTAGTTGTGCACCTTGGGTCTTGCTTGTGGATTTATTTTGTTTTGTGAGAGCCGTTGCCCTTGACTTAGTAAAAATTTGCTATTTTCAACTTGTGTTGCATGTAGCTCAAAAATTATTTGACACTTTACAGGAATGTTGATGAGCATGTATAGTTGTGCAATTGAGTATTTTTGTGTGGTTGTAGAGTTATTGTCCGACTTTGTAAAAATTTGCGTTTTTTAAATTTTGTTGCATGTAGCTCCAAAAGTATATGACCTCGATTCATGAAAATTTGCATAATTGTTGATCAGCATGTTAAGTTGTGCACCTGGGTGTTTCCCTTTTGGATTATTTCTGTTTTGCTTTTTCAGAATTATTGTTATTGACTTGATTAATTTTTTCAATTTTCTATTCTGTTCTATTGGTGTTGTGTGCACCTCAAAACCTAAAGTCATGAAATTTTACAGGAGTGTTGGTCAGCATGTGTAGTTGTTTACCTGTTGGTTCGCTTGTGAATTAATCCAGTATTTCTAGGGTTATTGCCCTAGATTTAGTAAAGTCCTTTCCATTATGTTGTGTTATTTGTTCTTTGAGTGCTTGAGTATTAACCAACTTTACAGACATAATCATCAACATCGCTTTGAAAATCTGCACCTGGGGTTTTGCATGTGGATTATTTTTAGTTTTGCTAGAATTATTGCTCTGGATTTGTATATATTTGCAAGTTTCAACTTGTTCATGCATAGCTAATACATTTGACCTGTAGGCCTTAAAGTTTACAAGATTGTTGGTCAGTACGTGTGCTTATGTACCTTGGTGTTTGCTTGTGGTTTAATTCAGTGTTTGTTATGCTCTTGCCTTTTACTAAGTAAAATATTTTAAGTTTTCAACTCTTGGCACATGTAGCCCAAACAATATTTGACTTAGAGTCATAAGATTGACAAAACAGTGATGAATAGGTGCACCTGTGTCCTAGGGACACATTGCTATTTACATTTTTAATTGTCTTACTTTGGAGATAAAAAGATAAAACACTTTTTATGCTCCCCCATAGTCGCCGCTTAGCCCAAATGTATTTAACCTACAGTCAGGAAATTTTACAGAAATGTTTGTCAGCATTGGTGGTTGCTTATCTGGAGATTTGCTTGTGTATTTATTCAGTATTTCTAGAGTTATTGCCCTTGACTAAATTATAGTCTGCACTTTTCCACTTTTGTTGCAAGTAGCCCAGAAACTATTTTACCTAGAGTACTGAACTTTACATAATTGTTAATTGTCATGTCAGTTGTATCTCAGGGAGTTTTCTTGTGGATTTATTCTGTATTTATAGAGTAATTGCCCATTCAAAGTTAAAATTAGTATATTTGAACTTGGATCGCTCATAGTTTTAACTCCTTTTGACCGAAGGTCATGAAACTTTACAGCAATGTTGGTGAGCCTGTGTTCGTAGTTGTTCTCCTGGGGTATTTGCTTGAGTATTTACTCAGATTTGTAGAATAATTGACTGTAACTTGATAACAACTGTTCAAAAATGTCGTGTCATGATTGTGTAGATCTAAAATTGCTTTAGCTATAATCAACAACCTTTACATGAATACTGATTAGCTTTTAAAGCTGTCTACCTAGAGCAGAATATTGATAGTTGTAAGTTGAATATCAGCCTCATACATTAATTTCTATTTTAAGATAAGATCTGGTCACGAATTTCATGAAACATTTACAGCCTGAATTTCTCTTCACATGGTATTCGTGATCAGGGGAAAAGCCTGAAACTTGGTCGATATCCAAAAACGGAGCAAACAAGTCCATTCCAAAACAATAGCATTTAAGGACATTGGCTTCTATTTAACAAAATGAAATAACAAAAGAAATTGCCCCTTTCAGTGGCAAGTCTGTCCACCAGTATGAGGTTGGATATATCTTAAGTTCTTTTTGTGGTTTTATATTTTACACACTTGCATCTCAATTCAAACTACATGATATTGGCAAGTACTGTTACATGAACACTGGCTGTCGTTTTTAGCTAGACTATTCGATAAGAATAAGTAGAGCTATTGTAGTCACCCGAGCGTCGGTGTCCGTGTCCGCGTCGGCGTAACCACTTATGTTAAAGTTTTTGTAATACCTCAAATATTTTCAAAGTCCATTGACATATGGCTTTGAAATTTGCACACTTGTTCATCATCATGACCCCAATCTGTAGACAGGAGGAGATAACTGTATCAAGCATTTTGACAGAATTATGTCCATTTTTCGACTTAGAATTTACGTTAAAGTTTTTGTAATACCTCAAATATTTTCAAAGTCTATTGACAAATGGCTTTGCACACTTTTTCACCATCATTACCCCAACCTGTAAACAGGAGGAGGTAACTGTATCAAGCATTTTTTTTCTATCAAGCACTAAGAATAGTCGAGCGTTGCTGTCCTACCGACAGCTCTTGTTCAAGTTATTGCCCTTTTCAGCACATTAACATGAACAGGGTTACCCTTTACCAGCAAATTGGATATATCTTAAGCTTTATCTTAGAATCTATACTTAAGGCTTCATAATTTTTACACTTACTTTTCGGTACAAAGTACATGATATTGCAAAGTTAACCATCCATATTTCCCAGTTGTTTCCTTTTAATCACTTTCAAAATAGTCCTTCGAACGGCAAGTTGGATTTATCCTTAAATTTTTCCAATAACTTATATCTTCCATATCTTTAAGGTGATTACCTTTAAAGCTGCAAGCCACCAGATGAGTCAAAATATTTCAAGAATATAAAACTTGAGATATAATTATGTTCTAAGATATTTAGAAATGTAAAAAGTTTTAAGATTCAAGTAAAATTTATTTGTTATGAATAATTAAGGACTGTTTTTGCAGTATTAATCACCTTATTTCTACTGCGTTACTAATAGAGTAAGAGCTTTGCTCATTTTGCCGTTGCTATGAATATTGGATGTTCTACTCTTGTGATATTTGACACATTAGACAACGTTTTCAAGCAACAAGACGTACAGAAGATCGGCCTCATGGTTGACTTCAGCGTATCAAGACGCGTCCTTAAAAATTCTGGAAACAAAGTGATCCCTCGGAAGCATTAATCACAACAAAATTACAAGAGAATTGCAGACTCGGTTTGATTGAGTCTGTACATGAGGGATAATGGAAATGTGCAACATCCCTCATGCCCCCTAGCACCGGCTTGAGCGGTACTCAATTCTCAACACTTAATAGTGCTGGCATCAATGATCCCGAAGGACCAGAAAATATAACAACACTGAAGTGAAGTACGGGGCAACTTTTTACAGCTGCCACACAGCACTTGACACCTGCTGTTGTGAAGTATAAAAATTCTGGAAACAAAGTGATCCCTCGGAAGCATTAATCACAACAAAATTACAAGAGAATTGCAGACTCGGTTTGATTGAGTCTGTACATGAGGGATAATGGAAATGTGCAACATCCCTCACGCCCCCTAGCACCGGCTTGAGCGGTACTCAATTCCCAACACTTAATAGTGCTGGCATCAATGAACCCGAAGAAACATTGAAAAACCGTATATTCAGAAATTGCATCCAACTACAACAGCTACTGCTGCTAACACCCCTTGTACACATATTAACCGTATATCTGCCCAAACTGTGCGCAATCACTTGCGCAAGATTGGGCTACAAGGACGTTCAACATATACATTGGTTGTGTTTTGAGGTGGTGTAATCGCTTAAATAGTGTTAATTGGACACATATACACCAACGCTGACTTACAACGATGGAATAATGTTCTTTTCTCTGACAAGTTGAGGTTTTCCATTCAATGAGCTGATGACAGGGTTCGTGTATACCTTTGGAGAAATAAACTGTATGCCGACTGCTGCCGACTTGATCGAAAACGTTTTGGGGTAGGAATTCTGTCTTGGTCTGGCAGGTATTGCACATAGCTTTCGCACTAATCTCGCCGTTATCGAAGGGAATTTGAATGCCAACCGCTACTGAGATGAAATTCTTGCAAGGCATGTTATCCCACTGTTTCAAATATTTTCAATATCACTCTTTTAAACATGATTATGTCACAAGCCATACAGCTAGGGACACTGTGAATTTCCTCAGGGGGCAAAAAGCATTGCATTTAGTAATGACTGGCCTTCCAAAAACCCTGATCAACACCTTTGGGATAATTTTGACCAGCATTTTAAACGTTGTCCTTTTCCACCGTCAAATGACATTCAGCTTGAATAGAGAGTAATAAAGAATCCTTCAATAACGCACAAAACAACAAAATTGAAAATATTGCAGGCTCGGGTTGATTGAGCCTATTCATGAACGTTAATAGAAAGTGCAAGCTACCGTCAATGCGCCCTTGCA